CAGATTGTGTCTGTGCTTCCTGGGTACTCAGCTCTTCCTGGGTAGTACTTTCCTGTCAGTTTTTGTCATCTGTAAATAAGACCATTTCTCTATGCCAAGCATGATCCATAGAAAGCTCACATGATTTTGCTGTGATTACACTCAAACACACTATGCTTAGAGAGTAGGCAGAGCCTGATGCTGTTGAAGTTTCCCAGGGAAGACAGAACAAGCAGTTCCTCCCCTGTGTCCACATGTCCTTTACGTGTATCAGGATGCTTTGTTCTCCCCACCCCCGGGCCAGTTTGGATGTGTGTTATTAAACTCTTCCTAAGGGTTTATATTGTTTTGTTGCTATTGTAAAGTTTTATCATTCGTCATGCCATCTCACTAGGTTATTTCTATTTATGGGCACTACTCATTTTTTTTTTCTTACTAAGATATATGTGCATATAATCTGTCAGTTTGGGCTATATAGTTACTTCCATGTGACACACATAGGGGCTATAGAACTATTCCCAGATGTGTTTGCATTTGACCTCCCCTCACCTTCTGCTTTGAAACCAAACTTAAAAGGCCATACAATGCCCTTTCCAGAATGGAATATAAACAACATATAATGCATATTTTTTTAGCTGTAGCTCTTTCATGTAATGCGTTCTAATTTGCTTTCTCTTGCTGTGATAATAAAGATCATCACCAAAAGCAACTTGGGGAGGAAAGGGGTTATTTCATCTTACAACTCTCAGGTCACACACACCAAGAGAAGTCAGGGCAGGAACTGAAGCAGAGGCCGTGGAAGAGTGCTGATTGCTGACCTGATCCCCATGGCTTGCTTACACTGCTTTCTTAGACTACCCAGGACCACTTGCCCAGGGGTGTCACTGCCAGCAGTGAGCTGGGCCCTCCCACATCAATCATTAGTCAATAAAATGCCCTATAGACTTGCCTACAGGCAATCTGACGGAGGCATCTTCTCAATTGAGGTTCCTCTTCCCATATAGCTCAAACTTGTGTTAAATTGACCAAAAACTAACCAGGGCAGTGCTGTTTCTGAGGTTTCTCAGATGTACTTTAACCATGCATCAGTACTGTTCTTTTTCTCTGAGATAGCTTCATACTGAATGGCATACTCCAGTCTGCTCGTCCATTCACCAGCTGATGTCTGAGTTGCTGCCAGTTTCTGGCTATTAAAAATGCTGACACAGCCAGGCGGTGGGGGCACACATCTTTAATCCCAGCACTTGGGAGGCAGAGGCAGGTGGATCTCTGGGAGTTCCAGGACAGCCAAGGCTACACA